GAGAGGGGTGTGCAGCCGACTTCTTGAGAGAGAGCATATCGTTTTATCTAGCCCTAATCTATGAGGCTCTTGCTTTTATATAGGGATCCAACGATTGTTATTGGATCTTGATAATCTACGATCTAGGTCTATCCTAACTTTGAGAAAGTGTACTTTCAAGCGGGAGGATATATACAAATCATGGAGGAAGTTAAATTTGCAGAGGGAGAAAAATTAAAATTTTAATATTTTTTTAATTTTATTTTTGTTTTTACCAACGGATTAACAACGAAATTATTACGTTAGTAAATTCGCTGCTAATTTTAAAATAATAATAATGCTCCATCGATAATATGTTAGCATTCCGATGCTATTAGCAATGAAAATCGACCATTGCTAAAAGTTTGTTCCTATAGCTGTACTGTAGATTATATGAATTTGAAGAAATGAATCATCGAAATTCAACTAAATTTTTAGTGTAATGCTATTTATCTAGAGTCGACGAACAACTTTGATTTCTATTTAGACAACAAGTCATCATTCAATAACCGTTTCTTCCCATGTGAGTCGGCACAACGTTAACCAAGTCTCCTAAGCCTTCTTCTGCTTAATAGGTTGTTTATGCTCACACGTGTCTCAAAACATAAAGCTTTGGATTAGGATTTTTCTTTTTTCTAAAATTGAAAAATCCCTTATAAACATTTTGATTCCACAACAAGAAAGCAACCTTTATTCGCTAGGGGTCGAAATAATTCAAAAATACTTATTAATTAATTCGAGAGTAAGACAGTGAAGAATGTAACGAGGATATGGAAGTGTACAAGTACGTGACCTTTCTTGGATTAATATTTTGGATCTTGCTTGGTGTACATAAGGGTGTCATTTCCTTCACATGGGGTGTGACCCACTTTTTTTTTTACGTAAACCAAGCATAATTCTTAATATTTTGACTCATAGAGAAATAACATGAGTACAATAATAATATGAACAGCCATGATTCGAGTTACTAGATCCAACGGTTGTGGTAATCCTAGTAGTGGGAGCAAGTATATAGTCCCCTTCTTTAGATGATTTTGCTACTTATACATAAAAAAAAAAAATGTATATAATGGATTACATAATATGATGTGAAAGAAAAATGTTGGATGAAAAAGTTGTTTATGTTTTAAACTCGTAAATAGTAGAGTGTCATGTGAAATTATGTAATCCATTATTTAAATTTTGATATATATGTAGCAAGATCATTCTTTAGATCCATCCGTTTAAAGAGGTGTAATTTCATGACCACAAAGAAAATATGAAAAATGTAGGAATACATAGGGCTTATTAATCAAAATAACATGCTTATTCAGACTTAAAACTAGGGCTTGGAGCGAACTGGATTGGGTTGATTTTGAGTTTAATTCAAATCCAAATCCAGCATGTTCGGTTTGACGAAAAATCAAATAGAACTAACCATCAACAATTGGAACCCAACCCAACCGAAAATTGGCCACTCTTGGGTCAATTTGGGGTTGAGCCCAATTCGAATTGGATCTGATTAGACAATTTTTTTTCATGGGCCCAATGATCGAATCCAACCAATTGCTTTTAACCCATATAAGGCTGAAAATAATGTACCTAAATAAGTTTGAAATTATCGAACATTTTTTTTACAAGTTTTCTTAGATTAATTCATATCATCGTCCTGCCTTTGATTTTTAGTTTATCTTCAAATAACTTAGTATTTGTACATAGTATTCATGTAAATTGTCATATAAAGTACAAGTTGGCCGAAATTGAGGCAAAAAGGAGAGAGTGACAAAAAAAGAGCTGTATGATCCATCACTTCTCTCTTCATGTTGGTCCAAGTCAACACATGATGTTAATGTCAAAGCTTAATTAAATAAATTTGTGAATTAATCCATCAGATGATGTGAAATGGCAGCTGAGATTACCGGATTTAATCATCTTCGAGCTACTTAAAAATAGGATGATTTTTTTTTTTTTTTTTGAGAGTCAATATTGAAAAATAAACTTCAAAATGTTTTATTTTAGCTTTTTAAATTAAAGAACGGATTTTAACTATCTAAATTTAGAGAATCAAACTCATTTTCTATTCTTACTTTATAATGTTGCATTAGTAAATTATTTCAATGTTTTACTTCTTAAATTATTCAAATCGTATTTAAATTGATT